ATTTATATAGTGCTCTGTGAACACAAATTATTTAGCATAAATCAGTTAAATGACGAAAAGTTGGGTGTCTATTTACTTGTGTATATATATTTTTTTTCAAATTGACAGTGTTGTTACTTTGGTGTATTTTGAGAACCACTGAGTAGAAGCTAAGATATAAGTGCCTTTCATGGTTGCAGCTTAATAAAGGCTTTCTTCTAAGGTTGATTTGTTAGGTATTAGAATTCTTTGACAAAACACACCTGATCCCCTCTTCGAAGTCCCATGTCTTCTGCTTTGGAACCCTTGCTGACCTTGGATATAAAGATTCCAAATCCTCGTTCATAGCCACCAAGGATAGAGAAGTGAAGAACATCATCTCGTGTAGAGCGAGCTAAAGTAACAGTTCTACTACGAGCTTTAGTAGCACAGGCAATGTTTAGTAAACGTAGCTGGCTGTGCATTTTCTGAAAAACAATACACTAGTTTCAGTATTAGTATTTTCTATTTTCTTTTCAACATTCCAGGACCCAATGATACTTCAATGTTTACAATGTAGAAACAAAACAAATATAATATTTTCATGCTTTACCTCATTTACTGGTGATTTTCTAAATTCATTATACATTCAATATATAGACAAATTAGTTAGTTTGTTATAAATAATCAATACTAATAGAAAATAAAATTACCTCTTGTTCAAGAAGAGAGTCAAATGTTTCCAGAAATTCCATCATATTTGCATCCATTTCAAAGTCTGTAAAGTGATTATTAACCCATAGGAGAACAACCCTTGTGACCTAAATGTATTCAAATTAAATTCTATAAATAGTAATTGCATTTCAACTACAGCTACTTTTTTAATAAAATAAAACTAGAATTGTATCAAAATATTCATCAAGTTAATTAAATATGATGAAATATCTTATGAGCAAAAAAATATTTCAAATCAAAGTGAGAAATGTCCCATAAAAACTTCAACTTTTAAGGTTTCCTTTATTTGGAAACATTCCAAATAAATATATGCATGCATTTATAAACAGATGGGAATGTTTTTTGTTTAGGACTTATTACTATAAATAATTATTTTTAAGTTTCATTATCTACATTACAGGAGCTCTATGACCACCTCAGCCAATGTGTCTTTCTTGTTCTTTAACTGGTTGAAATCTATACACACAGTAAACTTCTTAAAATAGTTATTTCACTAAAAAGTAAGATATTTTGTTTCACTTTTTCATTGCATTTAACAAATCTAAAAATAAAAGTACAATATGAAAAACCTATATATTATTTTAATTGCTTATTACTTTGAATTAGACTTAAAATACTCAAGTAATTTTGTTTAATTTAAACTGTTAAGCTTTACCTTGTCTCGCAGTTGATGATTTTTAAACCACTGAAGAAGGTTACTACCCACAATTAGAGGTGAACTAATGAAAGTCCTCTGAGTCAGTAGAAAATCCTCCACATAGCTGGGGTCAAGGGAATTTTCCTCCACCAGTTGGGCCATTAGCCTCTCAGGTGTGCCCTATGTTAAACAAAATAACATTTCATATTTAACAAGTAATAAAAAAAATTTGCAAAATTAAGTATGATGTGGAGATGGCAATGCCAAAAATTACAGATACAAGGTAGGGATGAATACACAAAACTATACAAAAATCACCATGCAAGTAGCAAAATCTTTCCAAAATTAACTTTTATCTACAATTAAATGTTGAATTCCTGTCAGTTGCATGAATTCAAGTTTTAATAAAAGCATTTAAATTGAATAGTGCTATACAGTCTCAGGGTTCTTACTAAGGTCCCACAGTGAAGGGTCCTGGACTCTCAACTTCTTTTTCCAAGAGTCCCACAGGTAGAATTTAATAAACTCAAAGAAAAAAGGAAAAAAGCAATTCAATGTTAATGAAAAACTTTATTTACAATGTACACTGCACGTTTACCTTCTGCAAGTGGAAAAGAGTATATTAATGTTCAATGAAAAACTTTATTTACAATGTACACTACACGTTTACCTTCTGCAAGTGGAAAAGAGCATATTAATGTTCAAT